CCTCATTGATAGTATACAGTAATTCTCTGCTTAATTTTGTCTTTATACTCCGTTATCCTACGCGTATTACGTATGACAAACCCTGAATGAGAGTAACCTGAGAGACGACTAATCGTGTATAGTGTGATTACAGGTACTTGGTAACAGCTCATATCCTCATCACTTTGTAGCAAGATGGTGATAGATCTACCATTGATGATGAAATATTCAGTGTAATCTGACTAAAATACCAATACAACGGGCTGTAGCTACAATACACTGCTTATAGTCAATAACAGACTCTATAATGTAGACTCTCTGTCTAACTAGTATCAGTGTAAAGTAACATTGTTTGTATTCACGGTACTCTGGTCACCGTTTGGTCACAGTCTGATCACCGTCTGGTCACAGTCTGGTCACCGTCTGGTCACCGTCTGGTCACAGTCTGGTCACAGTCTGGCCACAGTCTGGTCACCGTCTGGTCACAGTCTGGCCACTGTCTGGTCACAGTCTGGTCACCGTTTGGTCACTGTCTGGTCACAGTCTGATGATAGTCTTTCATTTTGTTATTAAGACATTATAATCGATTATATTCAAATAGAAACATATTATAATGGTTTTTAACTGTTGTCACATTTTAACTCATAGTTAAGTTATTTTTTGCTTCAGTCCCAATTTAACTTATTTTCCCTGCAATTAGCGTTATTATTGTAAGAATACGCTTGTCATTTTGCTAAAATTCATCGGAACTACTTTTCTAATTATGTCATGATCACATTTTTGAATACGAATATTTTTTCTTAACAACCTTATTAAGAAAGGCGAGTACCTAACTAGCATTTCACTAGATATGATACAGATGTTATATGTTAGTATGTGATTTAGATAATTACATAACTGACGATAATCATTTGTACATTTTTAAAACTTTCTTTTGTAATAATTCAAATTGGATGTTTAATAACTAACAAGAGACAAAATTGGAGTACGGGGTTAGAGCACCTCCCTATCTACAAAGATATATGATTCTGTCTAGTTACATTCATGCTAATTCGTCCATACTTCAGATCATGACATCACTGACGAGTCCAAGAAGGACGAAACAGCTGTATGGTCAAGGCTACTTCATTATTTGGCATAAAATGTGTCTATTACTTGATCGGTATTGAAAGGTGCTATTCACTTGTGTCTTTTGTAGAATCCTTTGACCCAGTCATGGTTGCTAACTAGCTGTTTAACGCTGTTGAATTCGACGAAGTGACAAATTGCTTAACACAGAATTGTTTGTTTATCGTAAAAAAAACTTCTGTGTTGACAGTAACTTAATTATGTTGAAATATATCTTGCATTTTAACACACTGACCATGTATTTTCTATGTAGTTTTATTTTTACGTGTAGTCAAGTTTTGACCGATTTCAATATATCACTAATGTTTATGATAAATGATGTAGGAAATATGTTATGGAATATGGCCATATTCTAATTGCTTAGTGTCAGCTTATTTTGCTTAAACTACTTTTTAACTGGTCATGATCTTTTTAATGACTGTAGTCACACTAAGCTGGTTTTAGTCAGGTTTTTTAATCGACTATAATAATTGTTCATGACTTGCGTCATTTTATCATAAACTGCATCACTTTGTTATCAGCTGTTGTCTTATTGTAAACCCACGTTATCAGCTGTCGTCTTATTGTAAAGCCACGTTATCAGCTGTCGTCTTATTGTAAAGCCACGTTATCAGCTCTCGTCAAATTGTAAAGCCACGTTATCAGCTCTCGTCAAATTGTAAAGCCACGTTATCGACTGTCGTCTTATTGTAAAGCCACGTTATCAGCTCTCGTCTTATTGTAAAGCCACGTTATCAGCTGTCGTCTTATTGTAAAGCCACATAAAAAGCTGTCAATACCATGTTATGCACCCTGATGTTACAAAATGTGATAAGTTTTATATCTATGCTACATGTGTTCGTGAAGAAATGTGATAAATTCCTGAATACAAAAAGCCGTGATGCCTTTGGATTTGTTACTTTATATATACATTGTATATTGATGTATCAATAAATGATATTTACATTGCCATGTCTTGTTTAGTTTTTTGCAACCATCATGTCTGGAACAAACAAAAAAGGACGAATCAGGTTTACGCCACACCAATTTTGAAAAGTAGATTTTCCGGAAATGTTTTGGTGCGATCTGAAGTAAAATGTTAAACTATCGATTTAAATGAATGACAAGGTGCACACATTGGATCATAAACATGATATTTGACCGTAAGTGATGTTTTTCATGCTTGTATGTGATCAAATTTGTACTAGGAACATTCAGATACTACATCTTTCATTCTCACATGTGATATATATTTCACCTAAAAATGATAAATACTTTTCACTACACAGGTGTTTCCATGGTGTTCCAAAATAGATAACACAGGTAAATTCAGTTATGAGTGGAACAGTAAAACAAAATAAAAATTAAAAAAACTCCAAAATGACAAATAACAAGAAAAAATATTTCAGGAATACTTATTTTAAACTCTAAATATATTCAAAAGCGTATCAGCTAGTAAAAATTGGATGTTAGGTTGTTGTGGAAATGTACACATCAACAACATATATAGAAAATTACAAACAAGATCAATCCATAATACCAAGAACAGATGGACACCGAAAGACAAAATGCACCATTACGGCCCATATCAAGTGTTCCTTGAATTACTGGATTCTATAATAATATATCTTCCTTAGCCAAGGGGAAATAGCGGTAGACACGGAGATTTTGGAGCGCTTTAAGCATGCCATCAGTATCTTATAGATTCATGAGTCAACAAAACATTAACCAACAAAATCAGTAAGACGTCAGCAAGATTTTCACGCTTACGTAATGCTAGTTGTTTATTATTTAAAACACAATTAATAATCTCTATCTGTTACAGACCTATGGGGCAACAGGTCACAACGACACAGTATAACACCATCTGTTGGGTATAATATGGTACCTCGAATGGACAGTATATAGTCGCCGCTTTGTCCGTCAGTCCGTCACCAGAACCACCACTCTCTTTTCCATAATGTAGGAGTTATTGCCCTTTGTTATTTTTATACTTAAATGTTGTTCGGAGCACTCCAGTAAAACTGTAAGAGGTATCAACATGAAACTACATAGGTAGATAAATCTCCACAAACAGAAGTGCAGTTTAGGAGTTATTGCCCTTTGTTATTTTTATACTTAGATATTGTCCGGGGCATTACACTAAAACTATAGGAGGTATCAACGTGAAACTTCCTAGGTAGATAGAACTCAACAAGAAGAAGATCAGTGCACTAGAATCATAGCTCTGTCATGACCCGTTGTTATTTTTATACTTTATCAGATATGTATACCATGTCTCTGACAGCTCTTGTATGTAATAACGTTTAAGAGATATGTTTGTTATCTAGCATGACTAATCTGTACCCTTAATCTTTAGAAAGTAAGGAAAAACGATCCTGATATTCAGAACCTTTATTTCTTATTTCGAATTTTGTAAACTACAAAACTAAGAAAAGTATACATATTTTAAGATACTTCAAGTGATACCAAAATAATGAAGAGCCCACATGTCCAGTTCTGCCAACAGCTCGATCATTACATGAACTGATCGTAATAATCAAAATGACTGAAACGGACACATGGCGGCCTCATGCAGACAAAATAAATTTTCAATTTACTATTGTATATGCCTACGCCATGATTTGTATATTGTCGTCAGATGAATTCACAGACCTGATTTTAATACGTGAATTAACAAAATTTGATTTCAATGATTTTCTTCTTGTTAATACTAATATAATGATTATTTGTCCCTAACCAATGACCAGGAAAGACAATGATTCTGTAAGTCTGTTAGAAGCATGTATCTAAAATTAGCGATCTATAAAATTAAAATCCAACCTCAAAATAACCGGAATTTTAATAATTTTTTGAGGAATGATAATTATAATTTTTTCCCTCGACTCCAGATTTTAAAAGTGGTTATTTCCAAAGAACCACCTTCCAGATTGGTGTGGCCTTATCAAAATCAGAATCAAAAAAGCGAAGTATGAACAAATTAATTTTTTTCCTAGCTTTATAGATCACAGTGCCCTTTAAAGTCATGAGGACAATAAAAACCTAACATTGGAGAAGCAGGAGGGGTACTTACGGAAACAAGCTCACAGGGTGTATCAGAACACCTCTGATGTCATGAGGACAATAAAAACCTAACATTGGAGAAGCAGGAGGGGTACTTACGGAAACAAGCTCACAGGGTGTATCAGAACACCTCTGATGTCATGAGGACAATAAAAACCTAACATTGGAGAAGCAGGAGAGGTACTTACGGAAACAAGCTCACAGGATGTATCAGAACACCTCTGAAGCCATGACGACAATAAATACCTTACATTCGAGAAGCAGGAGAGACAGCTTGAGTCAGCTTTACAGCGTGTAGTCAACTTTACAGTGTGTAGTCAGTTTTATAGTTTGTGGTCAGTTTTACAGCGTGTGGTCAGTTTTACAGGGTGATTTTTTTTTAGTTTTTTTGTCAGACTTTTTGTTAGTTCACCATCAGCTAATATAACAAATAGACGGTATTCCGTAACATTTCCTACCATTCCTGGAACTAAAAGTACACACGTGTTGGCAGTTTTCATCAGTGTTTTAAGTTGCAATCTCGGAAGATGGCTGTTCAAAGCTGCATCACTAAAGCGTTGTTAAACATTGCAATATTATTTAGTGATTCAAGTTGTAAATATTGCGTTTTATCAGCAGCATCTCGTGTTAACTGTGATATGGACATATGTATGTGATAAAATATTTTTTGCCATTCATCTGATCCATTAATATCGACCATAAGTGGCTAATTATAATCCTATATATCAAATCCAGCCTTGTGTTTTCTGAGAGATGAAACCTGAAGCTAGTGAACATGACAAATGGACAGAAATTGTAATGACATGGTGCATTAAAAAAGAAACAACACAAAATAAAAACAAAATAATACATTTCATTGTAAAAACAAATTTATTTAACTAAGATCTATATAAGGCCTTTGTAAGGCTAAGTATGCACCAATATGAAACAATTAAACAGAGATGTTTTTAGACAATAATATATCTAACACATCATCATCAGTATGGGATATATATGCTAGTTAGTATTACCAGTTAACCATTTATGCACCAATTGTTCATAGTTTAATATCCAAATATTGAGTCTAGAAGTATTAATTTACCATAGATTTCACTGTTGTGCCAGTGCTCATTATAAGGTACTTACACAGATGGAGTACTAAAACCATAATATTTACTGACACAGGACTAAACCAAAACTAATAATTCTAAGCTACTATTTCCTTAACAGTTGATCTTGATGGAACATTGTTCTGTTTATGGTTCTCTATATTAGTTTTATAATTATAATACTTTATTGTTATTTTATTGCCATATCTATTGACGTTTTAACTAATTTATCCAGTGGATTAATTTCATGACAGAAAAGAGTAGTTTACAAATTTTGTTAAATATTGATTAACATCAATTAGTTTCACAACTTTTGAGCATCATGTCACTTTTTTAAAACTATACAGTCACAGTAGACGAAAACTGAAGGCCTACACTGGTGTAGTTAGGTTGAAAAACGGGTCTGAATAATTACTAGACAGTTAACCAATGGATTGCATTTAACAAACTCACTAATAGTTCAACCAGAGAGCAGTTGTGAATAGGATATAATGAGTCCCTTACATTGTATATTTACTTCAGTATTTTATATTTCATACACATGCTGAATAATATTTAAAAAGATTCAAGAAAATTGTTCTAAAAACCAGGTAAGAATTTTCAATGTGTAGACCTGGATTTTGGTGATTAACATTTATAAAGGACCAATGGAACAACTTATCAACATAGACATCCCATACAGCAAAATAATCCTGAAAAAATAACATACAAACTGATACACAATGAAGTCATTACCACAAGTTTCTAGTTCATACGCATGAAATAAGCAGTACATGCAAGAATCCACACACCATTCTCTACCATCAGGAATGTCCCAGACTGGAGCAAGGAGACACAAAACTCGGACTCTTGATTTGGGTTCATGATCAAAATACTAATATTAAATAGTAATTCAAGACAGGCAGTCACGACTTCCTTACAGCACTTACTTGTTCAAATCCTGAATACATTTGATTTATTTGTTTTCAAATTAAATAATAATCCTTTGGACTTTATTCTGCTATACATCAAAGTCCATTAACATATTATACATTACATACCTGACATCTGTAGCACTATAAACATGGGGACAAAAATGTCCAAAAGCACTCATATTCCATACATCTCAAGGCAAGGTGCTATTCCATGAAATCAATTACTGATCTCTACTAGAAATCTGAGAATGGATTTTTACCTTTAAAAGAGTGAAGTTCAATAAATTTGGAATCCTGTTTATTCTACAAAGTCTAAAGTAAATTGGTTAGGTGTTCAATCAATTGATGCTCCCATTTATGCTAGAAAGTCCAAAGACAATTTTTGAGTCCAGTTTCAATTTCAGTTATGTTTCACTATTTTTTTCTTTTTAACCAAAAGATTGTTAATATGGTAATGCTTTATGATTCGGAGTATTAACAGGAAGTCCTAAACTGCATCTTAATAAACATATTGATCAATTTAGAAAAACAAATTGAATCAATACCCAAAAGCAATACTGACTTAGAATGGATAATCTTATTCTCTGTGCTTCATTTCTAAATGAGACAAATAATATCAACATGCAAAATTAAATCTATGCTGATTTTAAAGTACAACAATTTCTGTTGATACAGATTATGTATGTGGAATTCTGGAATTTCTCCTGATAAATTCAGAAAACATATGGATGAATAAATGAACACATCGATGTAAAGACAACAGGTGATGAACAGTGGACCTGGGAATGGAAGGAGTATATGATTTTTGTGCATTTTTTTGAAAGACATTGAGCATAAACTCATTCCGTATTGTTTCTTTGGCCACATGCATAATGCAAGAGATATTTCAGAAGAATATGCTACGTATATTTGCAGGAAGAAACTGGAGATCGTGGAACAAATTCTGGAGCATCAGGATTCAGCTTACTACAAGGTGATGAAGCCTGAAATATCAAAGCAAACAAACTTTTACATCATCTCTTGCCTGAAACATCATTATTTTTTACAAATCTTTAAATAAAAATTGAGAGTGCATATATAGCACATTCTTGTTCCTGGGATGTAATGATAAAATCTGTGTAAGACTGTTACACGTCTTCACAATGATAATTAAGGTTTGATAATAAAATCTGTGTAAGACTGTTACACGTCTTCACAATGATGATTAAAGTTTGATAATAAAATCTGTGTAAGACTGTTACACGTCTTCACAATGATAATTAAGGTTTGATAATAAAATCTGTGTAAGACTGTTACACGTCTTCACAATGATGATTAAAGTTTGATAATAAAATCTGTGTAAGACTGTTATACGTCTTCACAATGATGTTTAGTAATAACACATGAGTATATGTTAAAGTCCATATTTGGAGTTGTGAGTTACCTTCTGATTGTAGACACTGTTTGTGTAGTTGTGGAATGCTGTTATAGCTTCCTCTACAGAGTTATAATATATCCATTCTGCCTCTTCCTCTGCCAACATCTCCTCAAAACACGCCTCCATAAAGGCCTCCTCCCAAAACTCCTCCTCTACCTGTAGTTCAAAATAAAAGTACAGCTAGTATATAGAATTCTATCAACTAGCTCTGGATATTTTCCTTGGAATAAGAGCATTGACTACTCTTTTAATAGTTTCAGGCAAATTCAGAGAAAAATGGATCAAAGTCGTTTGGACTCGGATGGGTCTTACCCAATACTTAATTATATAGACTGGTAGTTATTATAAAAGCAAATCAAAGATACTGTCCAAATAAAACTATCAGATTGATCGTCAAGTGTATTTGTTTTAATATTACTAAACACTCAGACAGAACAGTGTAAACTTTGATAGGAAATTTTGAGTATGATGTATAAGAGTAAGACTGAAAGAGTTCCAAAGAAGATAGGTAACTCCATTTAAAAAAAAAGAAGTTTGATACTAACATTCAAAGTATATGCTATACAGATACTGTCAAATGATCAACTCTGCAACTACAAATCTACATACATATCTACCAGACTTTTGTTTCAATGGCTTCGGCTGGGGTATTTTTTATTTATTTTGTGGCGAATTTGGAAGGAAATTTTTCTGGATTAGATTGAGAATTTTGTAAATTTGGCTTGATATTTAAGTCTTGAGCAACAGTCTCATTCTATTAACTGACATTAGTTTACACAGGAGGGCGGAGGCACAACGTCCCACAATCGATGATATTTAGGAATTTCTTCCAGGCACTGCCGTGGATACATAAGTATACAGAGTCCTCAGTGAAAAAGGGTAGAATATAGGTCGAGAGTGAAGACAACATGAACAGCTCCTTTCCAATTCAAAATCTATTTGTGCATCAAGTTGTTGATATGTTTTGGATCCAACAGACATCAGTTTAATTGGAAAGATGTGTGTTACACCAAACAAAAACCTCTAAAAACAACCCATCTTTATTGAACCTCTGAAGAACACAACAAACCTGTTTATCAAACTCATCCAACTCCTGTTCTCCCATCCACACGTATTCAGAAAAGTCTACATCTGGTCCAGTTCCAGGGGCTTCCTCATGGATCTGATCAACACTATGCTGGAGATAAGGTGGTAGTTTCATATTCATGATGCTGAGCTCTGTAAAACAAGTAAACAAGTAGGTGTAATTAAATTCTAAATAACTGATATGTCAAAATATGACAGTATGCACACCTGTGTAGGAAAACTCACCACTAAATATTATATAAAAATCTACCTAGCTGCAATGTAGACTAAAACAGCTGTGTGACATATCATTCTATATCCTGACCATGAGTGTTAATATGATAGAACTATCAATATAAAATTACTATAGAACTAATTATACCTCTAGATATACCAGTTTCTGATTAAACATCCTTTATTTCATGAATAAATTGTAGAGCTAATCAACGTTTTTTAAGTATTACAAACTCATTTTCTAGGACCTATAGTGATGTCCTGATATATTTGATGGAATGACAAATGTGTTATGGAGATAATAGTTTGATGATTTGTATCTCAACATATAAAATGGACCTTCCTTGTACTAATACTTAATTTTTTAATAAAAACAAGTTTCAAAAACTTTGTCTCTGACACCAGGTTTAAATCCATCACTGTACCATTCACCATAGTTTTTCTTTCGAAACTTTTGACGATGGTTCTACCTAAGTGTGTTCAACCAAATCAATATAATTCATCATATATACCTGAGCCATATGTAACAGTATACAAATAGTGCTGTTCTGTAAGTTGTGTTATACGTTATGAATAACATTGATATGGTGAAGTGCACAGAGCATGCTTTTGTTTGGAGGGGGTGGGGGAGAGGTTCCCAATAATTCTTTTTATCTTTTGAAAAACTTCCTGTACTGCAATACCTGTTAATCGACAGTTAAGAAGTCACAGGTTTCATTTTGGTCTTCATAAGAACAATTTTGTTTGTTTGTAGGTGGAACTTAGCCTTGACATATCTGTATGCAGAGTGTGGTTTGAAACTTAATATGACTTATCTTATCTATATGCAGAGCGTGGAATGAAACTAAATATGACTACCAATTAATGTTTGTTAAGATCTTTATGAATCTTACAATTATTAGTACAGCACTGATGTGATGATCTTAACCATTATGTAATGTAAAACATGTTCTTTGACAAAACACATGCCAGAATCCCATGGTCCGTAAATATTTACTGATCACTTAGCTTGTAATACATAGTTGGGTCAGCTGGTGTGTGCATGATGTTACGGCAAGATGTGAAATAAATCACAATACACATCAATTCTAGTTATGTGACATGTATGTGTATAATCTGATGCTATCAATAATAACAATGGTCATTTTGCTACCTACAGTGTTTAACATTGATGTGAATAGTGACCACATGGAGTGATTTTTGTGATACCAATGCCTTATCAATAGTAACATGTGCGGTCTCGTGGTATGTTCGAACAATTCAAAATGTAAGTGAAACAAAATACAAAGGGTTCAAATTGTCACTATTTATTGAAAAAATCATGATATTCAAACCGGCTGGAGGTTTACCTTCATTTTCGTACAGACACAGGAAAATTATTCAACAAACAGAATTTCTATGTATTAATTATAACTGGAAAAGGTTTGTGTCCAAGAGTTATGCTGTTAGGATGTTCTATGGAAGATTTAGATTCCGAAAAATTCTTATATACCAGGTGATTCCTCACTAGCAAATAATGTTGACATGTGAAGAAGTAGTGATATGTATGTCCTATATTCTCACATAAACAGGAAATGCTACCGCTAAGGCTAAATTGGAGTAAAAAGGGCTTTTGGTAGGCAAAATCATAAGTTTTCTATTCCTTATACTTGGCTAAGTTCAAATCTTAACAATGTATTTTAGTAAGTTTTCAAATTCAACAAAAGAATGAGTTCTCTCTCGTGGGATTGAGAATTCTTTTTCAATTGTTGATGTAAATATATTCTGCTATACCATTTCCATATATATAGCTTAAAAACTTTTTTTATGAAATGTACAAGATACTTAAAATAAGGAAAAATCTCTACAACATGATTTCTTGCCAATGAGTCAGTTCATGTGGATTATCAAAAAAAAACTACCTTATTTCCAATTAATTTTGAAATCTCATTAATGGTTTAATGAAATTGGCTTTAAGTAACTTTGGTCAATCTTCAATCACTGGGAAACCATTCATGTTTGGACCATATACTGGCGACCGACAAGAATTTGTGAGTGACGCGATAGTTTGAGATAATATAAACTTGATAAGTATACCCAGGGACGTATATGACATATACGTCCCTGGTATACCATATCATGATCATTTTACGAGTCCTTTGTATATCAATTTAGTCTGATGTCATCAGATTTTTATCATGCTTACGTCACTTTGTATTGCTTTCATTTCATTCTATTATGACATAGTGAAAGAGCACAATCATTCTCTGCCATACAACATTAATCTTAATAAAGACAAGAATTTGAGTGTGACACGATTGTTTGTGATAGAATAAACCTTCGCTTGCATGATAAGTATATAATATCATGATCATTGTACTAGTCCTATGTATATCAATTTAGTCTGATGTCAGAAGATTTATCATGCTTACGTCACTTTGTATTGCTTTCATTTCATTCTATTATGAAATAGTGAAAGAGCAAAATCATTCTCCACCATACAACATTAATCTTAATAAAACCATGTATTAAGAAAAGAGGTTAACGTTAGATCTAATCCCATTAAATCAAGAAGTGTTGAAGTACATGACCTATAATTAAAAGCTAGTCTAGTCGACGACAGTGTTTCTGTATATAAATTGTCATAGAATACATTAATAAATTTTGAATCCTAAATATTTGAAAATGGTTTGGATAAATGGAAACATCTCCGCAAATCCATGGTTATACTTCTGTTGTTTTAAAAATGGGAAAGACAAGGACGATGTTTTTAAACAGAAATCTGACCTAGATCTTGCCTTACACGTAAACAAACTGTAGTTTAGATCGATAATCATAACGATCTCGCTCATTCTGGATAGTGACAGGGATTTTATCCCGCAAGTATGTTGTGATGGTGGATGCACGCACCTTGAGTAAATGTAATTTTGCTCACCAGATGTTGTTATGAGCCACTTTCTGCTTGTGTCACCGAATTCTCCTTTGTTTTGGGTGCTCTGCTTGTCAGGTACTTGTTTGTAAATAAACCATTTACTCATCAGTGTACATCCGTTCAAATGTAGTCCCAAAGATATGGTTAGTTTTGACACATCATATTTATAAAGGTGATTTTATTTGATATGCTGTTGATAACTGAGTAACAAAACGCACATTTATAATAAAATGTATCAGATTTATTTGAAAAAGTTTGGAAAATATCCATTCGACCTTGACTTTGGCGTAGTGATATAATGTAGTTTATGATTGCAAAATCATCGGGTGATTCCGGTCAAAGTCACGGAATTCGTCGATATTCAACTTGTATGTTAATTTATGGGTATTTATGAGCCATTAACGGACATCAGAAAATCAAGGATATTTAAGGAATATATAAATATGTTAATCCTTTGTATGAATTATGATTGTCCTGAAATGATGTTGAAGAATATGTATAATAGGTATCCATATATTTGTACATTGTATTTTGAACCTACCATTATCAGAACGCGGGCTGTGTAAATCGCCTTACGTCTGTGGGTCGCGAAAACACAAGACAAAGCAAAAACAAAACAGAACAAACAAGAGATGAATGAATAAATGAAAAGTAAAAACAAAACAAATTTAAAAATTTCGTATAATAAGAAAATAAAAAGCAAAAGGGAAAAGAGAAAAAATAAGAAAGATTCAATTTTCAAAGTACAAGAAAGATCGACGATGGTTGGTGTCAAAAACCCTTTGGGGTCTGTTGGAGTGAATGTTGTTAATTAACATGTAACATATATATTTTGTAAAGAGAATGAAGTGAAAAAAGTTGATACATAATTTTTTGAGTTGAAACCATGGGAGGAAATCGGAAAAATCCACGTGGTCGAGCAAACTCCATATGACATTTTTCAAGTCTCTCTGGGATTCAGACTTTGAATATCTAGGCAAACATCTAGTGTATAGAATGGAGTCTTTTAGCTAGAGTAACAACACTACCAAAAATGTAGAATTGTATTAAATTTAATTATTGTCTAATGACAGATACACAAGGGATAATATCGATATAAAAACACGTGAACCATTCTCACTGTTACCCTTGACAACCGTGAATCATTCTCACTGTTACCCTTGACAACCGACAACCGTAAATCATTTTCACTGTTACCCTTGTCAATGATGGATGATCTTAACTGCTAGTTATACCGTCAGTGATGTTTTATCTTAACTGCTAGTTTTACCATCGGTGGTCGATGATCTTAACTGCTAGTTTTACCGTCAGTGATGGATGATCTTAACTGCTAGTTTTACCGGCAGTGATAGTTTATCTTAACTGCTAGTTTTACCGTCGGTGGTAGGTGATCTTAACTGCTAGTTTTACCGTCAGTGGTGGGTGATCTTGACTGCCAGTTTTACCGTCAGTTGAGGGTGATCTTAACTGCTAGTTTTACCGTCAGTGTTGGGTGATCTTAACTGCTAGTTTAACCGTCAGTGGTGGGTGATCTTAACTGCCAGTTTTACCGTCAGTTGAGGGTGATCTTAACTGCTAATTTTACCGTCAGTGTTGGGTGATCTTAACTGCTAGTTTAACCGTCAGTGGTGGGTGACCTTAACTGCTAGTTTTACCGTCAGTTGAGGGTGATCATAACTGCTAGTTTAACCGTCAGTGGTGGGTAATCTTAACTGCTTGTTTTACCGTCAGTAATGGATGATCTTAACTGCCAATTTAACCGTCAGTGAAGTATTATCATGACCACACATCTTTTAGTTATTGATAATTAATAATTAATTATTACTATTACAGTAATCTCCCCATTCGCGAATCGTTTGTATGGAAGATAATCAAATAAATATTCAGATAAATTTCAGAACTGAATTTCTCTTCTGTATATGAAGTCGTCTTTTATTTCATTGCAATATTGCTTTAATAAATGATATTACAACATACGATATAGTTTTCAGCATTTAAGATTTGTTTATTAGGAAGCACGCAGTCACACCAATGTGTGATACAAGAGGTTACAACAGTTATATGAGTACATGTGTGCATCACCATGGCCACGAGAATGTAACAATAAAACATCAATTGAGAACGTATATATATATATATGTACATGAAACACATTGTTAATGTTGTTCAACTTTATGAGAAATTTGCAAACACTGTTACTATGTGAAGAATTACGTGTGAAATTTAACATTGAATCCTGTTGTTTATCAGGTTATACAGTAAATAACCATCGTTCTCATCTATCATTAACAAAGAAACAATGATGCTAGTTCCCTATTCCTGCGTAACAAGGGGACATAACTTATCCTACCATTCTTCAAGTTTCCACCGGAAAAGGCGTGTTATTTTGTATGGTTTCCACATCAGATATCGTCTTTAAATATCATATACGTATATCCTCTCATTGTCCTTAAATCACTTTTTAACAAACCGATATCCTCGACATCGAAATAAAAAGTCGGCAAATGCAAAGCAGATGGTTTTTTCGTGATGAAAAATATTATTACTAATAAGCACTGCCAAAAACAAAATTATATAAAGAATATTTACATATTTGAACAGTTATGCATCATTTTAAAAGGAAATCTAATACACATTCCAGTACAAATAATGCTAAATAATGATAGTTTACTATATGCATGCATTATAATGAGTACAATGATCATCAACACATATAGGAGCATCATAATTGAGCGTAACGTTAACGTCATGTAAACCCTCACTCCAGTTCCATCAGTCATTTCGTAATCTTGATTCTTCACTGATAAGTTATGTTTCTGCTTTAAAAAGAATTCAACTCTTATATAGGGATAAAACAAAAGCATTTCTCATACCACTGATGCATTTAAGGATGATTTTTAAAACTTTGAAAGCGATCTAAAGGTTTTAGAGATAACGCTTAAAAGTTCAACGATATGTCAGGTAATTTACAGACGTTTTCAAATGAGGTAAAATCCTTGAAGTGTGTTCGACATACCATTAAATGGGATAGAAATATCGCCAACAAACTCTAATAAAGGTGGAATTATATGAAATATATCTGTTGTATATAGTTCATAAATTACTCCCTTATTTAAAAAAAAAAGAAACTTTGCCAATAAAGGATTATCATATTACCATACTGAGTTATTAATTGGAGAAAAAAATTGATAATTTAATCATCATTTCATGTATATTGACATTAAAGACATCAAAATCAGCAAATATCTTAAAAAAAAAGTAAATAAATAAAAAACTAAAACTAAAATAGAGAATGTTTGCTGAACAACATAAAGAATGTAGAAGATGGGAATGTTGTTGACACTAATCTGGTCAAACGTTGCTGTATCTTATACTGACATATGGCGTTCGTTGTATTACATCATGGTCATATGACAACTCCCTTTAGGTATTCTGTATACGGTATATATATGTTTATTCGACAGTAAATGAGATAATACCGAGAATGATCAAGAATTTTTCGAAGATTTTCTGTAATGTTTCTCTCCTTATACTTACTTCTAAACATATCACATTATTGATTATCAATCCTCCAAAACATCAATAGTGTAAGCAGTGCGAGAGAACAATTGTTCGAAAAACAAACAATGTTGAGTATGTTGATTATGGTAGAAAGCAGTGTCACTTACGTGTGAAAAATGAGAGCCCTTCTGTGTGAGTATATATTTGTACTGTTACGTATATATTTTTTCAAATATAAAATAATTGAAAATATTAAGTCCATATCATAAAAAGACACAGGGGTATGACGTCACCCTGACGCTTCTTCAATATCGATAGAAGGCTTCAGACAGATAGTTCCAAAGTTTAAAAGATCCACGATGATGAAGTTTTTCTAGCGTTTGCTCAGCCGTCTCAGAAGATTTTTCACCAACATCCCATACTGAAGGACATCCACATGGGGTCCCTCGTATTTTAACGGTATCGGGTTCGCTTCCATTACAAGTGCAGCACGCCGCAGAACCTGAAAAAGTTTAACCACAATTTTAGGGTTGGTAGATAGTCTGGTATATCAAGATATATCCATTTTCGTCGTTACTTGTCACTGTAATTGCTTCCGATCTTAACTGACAGAAAAACAGGCTTAGCGCCGAATTGTGGATTCATATGCTGATTAACAATGAACTTAAATGGAGAAATTTCATCTACACTGAAATGTCCTGTAAGTATTACGTATCTGGGTAAGGTATCTGTTGCAGAGTTCACATATTAGGATGACATTGACTTGGTAGGTTTTTGTGCTATCCTTTAAACAGACGAACAAAGTTTTATAATAAACATATTGACAAGACATTTTTTGTCTTCCTTATTGTATACCCCAGGACTGATGATTGGAATACGTTTGATTTTCTGTACACGTTCTGTTGGACTGATTAGATAAGTTTGTTTCAGTGACATTGCTTATGCTTTTGACCTCTGTTTATAGTTATCAACTGACCTTTTGACATTTTATTTATTTATCGACTAATCTGTTGACATCGTTTATAGTTATCAACTGACTTTTTGACACTTTTTTCTATTTATCGACTAATCTGTTGACATCGTTTATAGTTATCAACTGACTTTTTGACATTTTTTTCTATTTATCGACTGATCTGTTGACATCGTTTATAGTTATCAACTGACTTTTTGACATTTTTTTCTATTTATCGACTAATCTGTTGACATCGTTTATAGTTATCAACTGACTTTTTGACATTTTTTTCTATTTATCGACTGATCTGTTGACATCGTTTATAGTTATCAACTGACTTTTTGACATTTTATTTATTTATCGACTGATCTGTTGACATCGTTTATAGTTATCAACTGACTTTTTGACATTTTATTTATATATCGACTAATCTGTTGACATCGTTTATAGTTATCAACTGACCTTTTGACATTTTATTTATTTATCGACTAATCTGTTGACATCGTTTATAGTTATCAACTGACTTTTTGACACTTTTTTCTATTTATCGACTAATCTGTTGACATCGTTTATAGTTATCAACTGACTTTTTGACATTTTATTTATTTATCGACTGATTTGTTGACTTTTTTATGTTGATGTTACGTAACGTGTTGACACGACTCTGTGTTTTCCATATGGACTTGTTACCGTGTATATATACATACAAGACGAAGTGTGAAATGTAAATACTACCTCTAAAACACATCTTTGAAAGAAAGAAATCGTATGAAATATATGATTCCAACAAGAACATATAAAATCAACACGCACCTGCTTGGATGTTTTGATACGGACGCACTCCTTAGATACGTTGCCGTGAACGATACCTCGGGCGTGCAGGAAGGACAGACATATTATAACGGATTGTGATATCTTGAATGCGTCCGCCGGAGACAGTAATTGATCACGAATGTGCGTTTCAAGGGAAATATATTCTCTTGTACTCTCAAATAATTTACTGAAATATACTTCCTTCAATGCATTCGTCTGCTCTGCATCTGAAACAAAAATTAGTCATCAATCAAAATAAGATAAAAATGACAGCGCTCGACTGAAAAACATTTATTTTAAATATAACCTTAATTTGGAGACTGTTACTTTCGTAGGAATAATTCTTCTTTATTTATATATATGTTTGAAAGTGATGCAAATGGTATTCACGTGTGCAGCATTTATATAACCACATAACGCATTATCTGATATTGTATTTCATCTACATCAAAGAATTTTCATACGGATTATTTTTATCTTCAGCAATTGTGACACATGTAACATCAACTTAAACTAATCACTATTGTCTGCCTAGAATACTCACGTGGTTAGTCACGTGACTCCATATATTTTTATGTCCGATTGGGAAATCGAATTGGAAACTTTGATATAATAGACAATTCCATAGAGGTTTAATGGGACTGGTTCTTAGGTAATGAAAGGGTTCAACGTAGATATCAGTGATACTTGTGGCCTTGACCTCATCACCAGTCATTAAATATCTTTTTATATTTTAATTTTCACCGTAAGCAAGAGAGCATTCGAATTTATCAACACGACTTATTGTTTTAAGTTGGAGAGTACTAAATTCCTACCTGAGGTGGTGATATATTTTAATAGATGAAAGTCACCGATGTTTGCCGTAACTTGCTTAACACGTTTTAATTGAAAACGTTGCAATGTTAGATAATAGGTATATTCTTCACGTTTTTGTGAAAATATCAGATATATGAATATAACGTAATTTACTGAAATACGAGCTAGTACACCTCCCCATTTAGGTTTTTACAATTCTTTCGATCAGTTTGGATTTTCCACATTCGCCTCCTAGGTTCAACATTAAAGCCATTATTACCGCTGTCGAGTCATACATGGACGAAACATCTGCATGATACAACTTAGTTCGTTGTTTGGGTCTGTTGTATCTGACTCTAAAAAATTATATCAAATGGTGCTATTCACTTGTGTGTGTAAAATCCTTATATCAGTAGTGTCCTTGATTGCTACATGTACTAAAATCTTCCGAGGAGGAAGGAAGCTATGCCTGACAATGGTAGATCTTCATTCTACATTATATCCTTTGACGAAGAAACAAACGGAAGGTGTACAAATATACATGTATTTAAAACAGATGATTTACACTTTTCAAATAACATTAAAATGATTTCATGTTTCTGTGTTTTTATGACGTTGACAGTGTATTGGACAAAGGAGTAGGACAATGCTCATCATCTCACACAGGCAAACAAAGTTCATCGTAAACTCTCGGGCAGAAAATATACAGAAGAGTTATTTACAGTATCAATCAAGTCCAAACGTCCTAATGACATACAGATACCATCAAATTGTATGATATTCTACGTATATAAGTAATGCTATATAAACGCGGCCTCTGTTTTATACAAATGTCTTATATGATTTCCAAGCATCAAATTGATAAAACGCATATTCAAAACACTTATAATCTATATATACTGTAGACGTCAGATATTAAAGATTGATACCAACAATTAAACCAATCAGAAGTGGTTGTGATTGACATCTCAAAAGAATGAATCCTCGTGAATGTTCAATACCACAGTGTGCTATATATGGACAGGTTAGTATGACTGCAGATATGGAGATTGTTTACCGTAAAACATCTGTTGGTTCTTGGTAGATCCAGATGTACTGCGTCTGTCAGAAGTATAATTGGTGCAGCTATGCCGAGCCTAGATAGATTTAAAAAAGAAGATAATTGAGTTCGTCTTGCCAACAAGTACATCTTTCTCGATTCCAGTTGAACACTGAGCTATATAGTACACACAATTTTGTTTTCGAGAATGATTTCCGTATTGTCTTCAAACTGTTTTCAGAATAACAGAATGTTAACTATGTATTGCCTGTCGTTTCCATGGATACACATGATACACACGTTTTATTTTATTACCTGTATTTACCTAGTTTTATTGTTATTTACAACTTTGGTAAGACTTTGATCATGACGTAGTTAATACATAACTATAGATTACTGCCTACGTCACTAGGCACACAGTGATATTTGAGCAAATGTACGAAATTTATACACTAGAACACAAGGAAGAGAGAAACATACTAACACCGTTATTCTCTTATCAATAATGATGATGTCTTACATTGTAATCATAGAGTATTATAAAAAAAGTTAATGACGATGACGACAACGACAACGAGGAGGTGGAGAAGAAGGACGTCGACATGATAAGAATGCTGATGATGGTGATGATGATAATAATGATGATGATGAAGATGATAAGAATGATGATGATGATGATGATTATAAGAATGATGATGATAGTAATGATGATGATGATGATGATGATGATGATGGTGATGAATAATAATTATTTATCTGGATAGATAAATAATTACAAAAAATATGTTAATGTATACACTATAAAATTGGTGGGGAGTGACAGGATGATATACACTATACAATTGGTGGGGAGTTACAGAATGATACACACTATAAAACTGGTGGGGAGTGACAGGATGATACACACTATAAAACTGGTGGGGAGTGACAGAATGATACACACTATAAAACTGGTGGGGAGTGACAGGATGATATACACTATAAAACTGGTGGGGAGTGACAGAATGATACACACTATAAAACTGGTGGGGAGTGACAGGATGATACACACTATAAAACTGGTGGGGAGTGACAGGATGATACACACTATAAAACTGGTGGGGAGTGACAGGATGATATACACTATAAAACTGGTGGGGAGTGACAGAATGATACACACTATAAAACTGGTGGGGAGTGACAGGATGATACACACTATAAAACTGGTGGGGAGTGACAGGATGATATACACTATACAATTGGTGGGGAGTGACAGAATGATATACACTATAAAATTGGTGGGGAGTGACAGAATGATATACACTATAAAACTGGTGGGGAGTGACAGAATGATACACACTATAAAACTGGTGGGGAGTGACAGAATGATACACACTATAAAACTGGTGGGGAGTGACAGAATGATACACACTATAAAACTGGTGGGGAGTGACAGGATGATACACACTATAAAACTGGTGGGGAGTGACAGGATGATACACACTATAAAACTGGTGGGGAGTGACAGGATGATACACACTATAAAACTGGTGGGGAGTGAGTGACAGGATGATATACACTATAAAATTGGTGGGGAGTGACAGAATATACACACTATAAAATTGGTGGGGAGTGACAACATGATACACACTATAAAATTGCTGGGGAGTGACAGAATGATACACACTATAAAATTGGTGGGGAGTGACAGAATGATATACACTAAAACTGGTGGGGAGTGACAGGATGATACACACTATAAAACTGGTGGGGAGTGACAGGATGATATACACTATACAATTGGTGGGGAGTGACAGGATGATATACACTATAAAACTGGTGGGGAGTGACAGGATGATATACACTATAAAATTGGTGGGGAGTGACAGAATGATATACACTATAAAATTGGTAGGGAGTGACAGAATGATACACACTATAAAACTGGTGGGGAGTGACAACATGATACACACTATAAAATTGGTGGGGAGTGACAGAATGATACACACTATAAAATTGGTGGGGAGTGACAGAATGATACACACTATAAAATTGGTGGGGAGTGACAGAATGATACACACTATAAAACTGGTGGGGAGTGACAGAATGATACACACTATAAAATTGGTGGGGAGTGACATCATGATACACACTATAAAATTGCTGGGGAGTGACAGAATGATACACACTATAAAATTGGTGGGGAGTGACAGAATGATATACACTATAAAATTGGTGGGGAGTGACAGAATGATATACACTATAAAACTGGTGGGGAGTGACAGAATGATACACGCTATAAAACTGGTGGGGAGTGACAGAATGATACACGCTATAAAATTGCTGGGGAGTGACAGAATGATACACACTATAAAATTGGTGGGGAGTGACAGAATGATACACACTATAAAATTGGTGGGGAGTGACAGAATGATACACACTATAAAATTGGTGGGGAGTGACAGAATGATACACACTATAACATTGCTGGAGAGTGACAGAATGATACACACTATAAAATTGGTGGGGAGTGACAGAATGATACACACTATAAAATTGCTGGGGAGTGACAGAATGATACACACTATAAAATTGGTGGGGAGTGACAGAATGATACACACTATAAAATTGGTGGGGAGTGACAGAATGATACACACTATAAAATTGGTGGGGAGTGACAGAATGATACACACTATAAAATTGGTGGGGAGTGACAGAATGATACACACTATAAAATTGGTGGGGAGTGACAGAATGATACACACTATAAAATTGGTGGGGAGTGACAGAATGATACACACTATAAAATTGGTGGGGAGTGACAGAATGATACACACTATAAAATTGGTGGGGAGTGACAGAATGATACACACTATAAAATTGGTGGGGAGTGACAGACATGATACACACTATAAAATTGGTGGGGAGACAGAATGATACACACTATGACAGAATGATACACACTATAAAATTGGTGGGGAGTGACAGAATGATACACACTATAAAATTGGTGGGGAGTGACAGAATGATACACACTATAAAATTGGTGGGGAGTGACAGAATGATACACACTATAAAATTGCTGGGGAGTGACAACATGATACACACTATAAAATTGGTGGGGAGTGACAGAATGATACACACTATAAAATTGGTGGGGAGTGACAGAATGATACACACTATAAAATTGGTGGGGAGTGACAGAATGATACACACTATAAAATTGGTGGGGAGTGACAACATGATACACACTATAAAATTGCTGGGGAGTGACAGAATGATACACACTATAAAATTGGTGGGGAGTGACAGAATGATACACACTATAAAATTGGTGGGGAGTGACAGAATGATATACACTAAAACTGGTGGGGAGTGACAGGATGATACACACTATAAAACTGGTGGGGAGTGACAGGATGATACACACTATAAAACTGGTGGGGAGTGACAGGATGATATACACTATACAATTGGTGGGGAGTGACAGGATGATATACACTATAAAACTGGTGGGGAGTGACAGGATGATATACACTATACAATTGGTGGGGAGTGACAGGATGATATACACTATAAAACTGGTGGGGAGTGACAGGATGATACACACTATAAAACTGGTGGGGAGTGACAACATGATACACACTATAAAATTGGTGGGGAGTGACAACATGATACACACTATAAAATTGGTGGGGAGTGACAGAATGATACACACTATAAAATTGGTGGGGAGTGACAGAATGATACACACTATAAAATTGGTGGGGAGTGACAGAATGATACACACTATAAAATTGGTGGGGAGTGACAGAATGATACACACTATAAAATTGCTGGGGAGTGACAACATGATACACACTATAAAATTGCTGGGGAGTGACAGAATGATACACACTATAAAATTGCTGGGGAGTGACAACATGATACACACTATAAAATTGCTGGAGAGTGACAGAATGATACACACTATAAAATTGCTGGAGAGTGACAGAATGATACACACTATAAAATTGCTGGGGAGTGACAACATGATACACACTATAAAAGTGGTGGGGAGTGACAGAATGATACACACTATAAAATTGGTGGGGAGTTACAGAATGATACACACTATAACATTGGTGGGGAGTGACAGAATGATACACACTATAAAATTGGTGGGGAGTGACAGAATGATACACACTATAAAATTGCTGGGGAGTGACAGAATGATACACACTATAAAATTGCTGGGGAGTGACAACATGATACACACTATAAAAGTGGTGGGGAGTGACAGAATGATACACACTATAAAATTGGTGGGGAGTTACAGAATGATACACACTATAACATTGGTGGGGAGTGACAGAATGATACACACTATAAAATTGGTGGGGAGTGACAGAATGATACACACTATAAAATTGCTGGGGAGTGACAACATGATACACACTATAAAATTGCTGGGGAGTGACAACATGATACACACTATAAAATTGCTGGAGAGTGACAGAATGATACACACTATAAAATTGCTGGAGAGTGACAGAATGATACACACTATAAAATTGCTGGGGAGTGACAACATGATACACACTATAAAATTGCTGGGGAGTGACAACATGATACACACTATAAAAGTGGTGGGGAGTGACAGAATGATATACAAGAATCTCACACTTGTTCTCCTTTTCCTTTTGATGTAGGTGTACGTGTAAAGGAAAGGATTGATCGCAGAGTTAATTGGAAGTACCATTACCATCACCCAAGCATACACATCTTGGGAAATTATCCCTCCCGTCTGGGACCATAATCCTGAAAATATTTTAAAATCATTTTAAAAACATGAAATATCAATGTCTGTTTTTAACACACGACAATAATTACCTGTTTTCAGGAGATGCTGTACAGGGTACCAAAAGAAAGGATCAAAATTTCCATACAAGAGAACATATTTACGTTGTTTCACAACGACGTGAATATAATACCATTATTGTTTATTCAAGACGAAAGGCAGAACATTTGAATCGGTGGTGAAAACAATTTATTGACGATTTCTGATATATTCGTCACTATTTTCACGAAATATGTGTCGTCAGTTGTACACGTGTCATATTGTCTGTGTCTATTAAGTATATTGGAATGGCAAAATGCCTAACGGCCGTGAGAAGATAAAAAAGAGCCTGAAGTGATGCAATTTTTGTTTTGAAATTAACGGCACAAGACTCCTGGGGAAAAGAGAACATATCGCTTCAGTAGGTAGATTAGTTCTATAAAAGGTAAAAAGGTCTAGAAATCATCTTAACATACTCTGGACAGAACGTGAGGCTGTGCACTACTCAGGAACACATTTCATGAAAAGTACACAAAGCGAGGAATACAATCTTATTCAATATAAAGTGAATGAAACCGTGATAATTTTAGGTTGACAATTTTTTCACAGAGTTTCGTGGCAATATCTTCAAATAGATCACTGGTGTGTCCGTGGAAACAAAGTGTTCTTTCTTCTTGAGGTCTTACCTACCCACTAAAATAGGAATTCTAGGACACTACAGACTCCTCATAATAATCGTTTATCTCGACCTTTTCTTGAAATATAGCAATATATCTTGTCACATCAAGCGTGATGATTTTGATGTCCCTTTTGTAATTTTTTCCATTTTGAGACAGAACCTATTGTTCTTGTCTGTCGCAGTTAATTATATAAATGAGAGATGCACTTTGTTGAAGACAAGATTCCATTATTGTTAACCTTATTCTCAAATAAGAACGTGACATACTTGCTTGGATTGACTAAAATTAGCATAACGGACGTTGTCGATAAAGCAGAAGACGCTCTCCCTTCTAGAACACCAGGTCTTATTCTCCTTGTACTTTGTCTCCATATTACATGGAATTTATTGTTTCTCATAGTTTAATCGATTCTGAGTTTAAAATAAGATTCTGTAGACACGTGGGCAATTTTTTGATGTTTCTGAACAAGGGACACGGGTGTTGCAAATATGGCATTAGAAGCCCTCGGAATTTCAAAACATTTTGTAATTTATGTTGTATATCTTGTAATTTTTACCCGTAAAACATGTACATGAAGTGAAGCGGAATATCAAACACAGGCCTTTTAAAACATACATTCAGCAATAGAAATCATAATATTTCGAATGTTCATGTTTTTTATCTTCACTCCTCTGGTATGTATTTTTGATAGCTATATCAATGTGTACAATTGGTTCCCAATGCAGAAAACCAGTTTGATTAGTAGTTGTCTCCCCTTGAATGCTTACCATAGAAGCACAATACGAGAATATGACTACTGAGATGCATATGAAAATAATGTTTTGTGCAGTTTTTATGATATAGGGGATAGTTTACAGAATTGATTATTAAACCATGAAGTATATAGACAACAATCAAAATATACACAGACCTATAACTCCAATCGGACACCAGCAACAGAAATCTGTGGCCACTACAAGGAACAACGATTTGGCCAGTTCGATTTCCGTCTTGCGGTTCTGTGTAGTGGCCAGGCTTCCGCTACCTTTCATGGCTTTATAGATGTAAAACTGCGCCATCACTATCAGTAAGAAAACCAAACTGTTCATTCCGATGAAAATGGCAACAGCATATTCATCCCCCGGTGAACTATCGCCAGTGAGAGGCAGAGCAAGGCAGATGCCCGATCTTGAATAAAATTTTCCTTTAAAGTATGTTTGAAAGAATACTTGTGGAGTAACAGCAATCGCAAGAGTTACGAACCAGAACACGCTTACTGCAATGATTGCCTTCCGCCAGGTGAACTTGTGTGTCGATAAAGGGAACACAATGGCGATGAATCTGTCAATAGTTATCAAGAGGATGATGAAGGTGGACATCTCGCTAGATATCATGGATATAATCCCAGCGACAGCACAGAAGGTACTTTCTCTCCACTTTTTGTCGTATGTGACATACCTCCCACTGTAGTGTGTGTCTACTGCAGCAATGATCAACATGTACACCCCCATCAGGAAGTCAGATACACCCAAGTTGATCACAAACAAAGAATAACTTTTCTTTATATGCTTCTTGTCAATAACTGCACGGTATATTATTACAAACACGTTTCCTACCAATGCTGTTATACCGATAACCCAGAGACACACCCTCAGTATACCAAGACCTACAAGGTTAGAACACGACGATATGGATTCTTGGAGTGCGAAACAGTTTTCACTGGCAACCGATTCTGGTCTGATACAACACATTTTATACGAGTCCGCATACAGGTATGTTAGACCGTCAAGACCTTTAAACATCAATTCGTGTATCTCAAGTAAATTTTGTTGAATATCCAGAGCTTGCAATCTTCCAAGATTTAAAAACACATCATTTTGAATATTTCTGATATCACCTGCACTTATATTCAGATAAATTAATGACGACACGTCATCGAAAACACCCGTGTGGATTTCTTGTATCTTTGTATGTGTTAATCTTAGATCTCGCAGAAAATGCAACCCACTAAAAGCCGAGAGGTCAACAAATGAAACAGGATTATGACTAAGGTTTAGATATTTCAAGGAAAGTAGATCTGTAAATACTTTTCCAGGGATATTCTCTATCAGATTGAAGGAAAGATCCAAATACTCTAGGTCAGTTAAATGTCTAAATATAGACTGTAGGGGATTTCCAGTTTCCAGGATCTTAAGCGATGTATTGGTCATTTGAAGATTATTTAAAGAAGCGAATCCATGAAAAAAATCGCTATCGATGTGGGACAATGGGTTGTTGCTAAGAACGAGCGTTTTCAGATTTGTTTTTATAAAAGTTTTTTTAGGCAATTTTTCGATATGATTAGACGATAGATCAAGGTGTCGCAACGCACGAATGTTCCCGAAAACTGACTGTCCATCCACTAGCAGTTCACGAATAGAACATCCCTGTAACAGCAGCGTTGTAAGAAATCGGAAATCGATCGGGTTATGAGGACGCATATCAGACATGTTGGTTTTCAGATCAATCCATCGAGCATCGGAATGAATAGTATTGATTGGGATGATGTCGGAATGACTTTCACATTTGAAGGTCATGCCGCGACATCTGCAGTTTGCTGGACAGCGAGGGTTGCAGTTAAATTCATCGTCACCGCGACGACAATGGCGAATTCCGTCACAGAGCTGGTTGAATGGAATGCATTCATAAGTCATACGACATTTGTAATGTCCATCACACATTCCAGAATCTGAAAAATAGTTGTTGAGGTAGTATTGCTGGTGTTTTAATGTATTTATCTCACGACGGAGACTGGACAAACTCGAGAAACTAGATATTATTATGAAATGGAATAATTTTTTCCCCACACGTGATAAACCTCTTTTAAATATACACATTTCTTCAGGTATATCTTAACTCTTAACTCGTGTTTCATTGTTTTTTTTTCACTTTGGCTGTTGTTAAGGCTGAATAGCACTGGGCAATATACACATACAAAATGATTAAACTCACGTGAAGGTGAGAAAAAAAAAACCAAACAAAAACAAGAAAAAACCAAACAAAAAAAAAATTGAAATTTTGTGAATACATTTGAACAAAATAATATAATTACCGTACTGTGAATTTTTTTCGCGTTTTTAACTTACCACAAGCTAGTTCATCCTCTTGCAATGGACAATGACTTTTGCCGTCACATAGGAACCGCTGATGGAGACAGAATGAACCCGGACATTTGATATAATTCTCAGGACACTCAAATTCTCCTGTGAACATTCAACACCATTCTTAAAAGGAATATTGCCAACACCATATCAAGACAAAGAGGACGTTGTAAGATATGAAATACAAGTAAGACATCTCAGAAGGCCGCCCGCCATATCGAGAACGATCCATCCTGTACTTCTCTGGGAATATTGATAACAAGAATTGGTAAAGGACGAAAGGACATGAAGGGCGATATGAAAAGTTCATCAATTGATGAAAGTCAGATCAAACACTGATCTATTAAGTAATATCGAATAGATATAAATGAAGTGTAAATGTTATTATCCAAAACCAGCATCAATCAATCGTAGCATCGATGAATTAACATTCAATGTGAAACATATTAAATAACTAAATTGATGAGAATAATCATTACCAAAATAAAGCGTTATCGACTTACCACAATCTTCAAGATGAGTAAGGTCACGGCATCCTGTTGGTTCTCCAGTCGGATCAAAATCCATCAAACATGTGTTATGCGGGTAGTATATCATACCGTTTTTACAAAATTTAGGTTCTTCCTTATATCGTGGATCAATATCTACTGCCGCTGAAAGGAATTACGTTACAGAAATTTACATCACGGATAAACATTTACTTAGAGAAAGGGGAGACAACCCATTAATAAACTTGCTTTGTTTGCTTTGATACACAACTCGTCTAACAGGACCTTTCAAATCAATTGGTAACAGGAATCTAGAACAATTAATCAAGAAGAAACGTTACCACACGTGTTTTATTTGAAAACAATAAAAAAAGATGTCGGCGGTTCTTTTAACATTCTGTATTCTGAAATGACAGATAGATAGAGCTTCTCGATTACTTGGAATACGTCAGAAATTAGTCACTGACAATATTTACTGAAGACCAGGTATGATATATAGGTTGACACACACAGACACCAGAAAACGATTGGAGTATATAGATAGATTAGATACCAGAGGATATTGGAGATGATGCGTCGATTTAAAGAGATGTCACACAATTAATGGTTGATGTATGTGGTATTTCTTTCACTCAAGTTATTTGGAAAAAGCTACAAAATCGCCAACATTATCGTTAAAAATGGTCGATATTCTGCGGTTGGTAGGAGAAATTGATAAATAGTTACACCTCATAGCCTCAATATTTATTATTCCTTGATTAGATAATGAAAAGATCTAAAATATCACCTAGAAAAGTTAGGGACGCACAAGTAACATCTACAAAACTTGGGAACATAAAAGTAACATCTACAAAATTTAGGAACGTTCAAGTAACACCTACAAAACTTAGGAACGTTCAAGTAACACCTACAAAACTTAGGAACGTACAAGTAACATCTACAAAATTTAGGAACGTACAAGTAACATCTACAAAATTTAGGAACGTACAAGAAGGTTAAAAAACCAATCGAGATTAGGTGAAATCAGTAACTATGTTTAGTAACTACAGTTTTTTGCTATGTTTTAATTGTTATTTTTTCGGGCTTATTTCGAACGGATAATTAATGGTACATTTTCTTAATCTACGCCTCATACCGAATTGTATTTTGATGGAGTCATTTCTGCTGATAAGGTTTTCTAGCAACCAAAACTATTATTCTGTTGGCCATTGCTGTTTCATTTATCACCAATATTGGTTTTGAATTGATTGTACCTTCAGTACATATCAGTGGAGATATGCCTAGGATGATGATGTTTTCTCCTTTCACTTTGCTGAGAGGGAGCTGATTCTTGTCTGTAATTGCTGCCCAGTTCTTCATGGCGGCTTCCGCTGGCGATGCAGGGATTTGTGTATTTTGTATAGACGGATTAAACTTACACCTGAAGACAACAAGTACATCTTATCATTAATTGTCAAGCCACTGTATTTATCATTCAAATATCATTTTCAATATTTTGTAGTTACGTCGTGTTCGAACAGTTATACTACATATATAATAGGTGTCAAAATGATTTATTATTAAAAACTATCTTGACCTGGAATTTCAAATAAGAATTTAGCATTATTATTTTTTGTTTTAAATGTGTATTTATGTCTATACTGACGACACGAAGAGGAAACACAGCTTCCAATTAAATAGTAACATTTGTTTATATCAATAAGAGACTGTTAGCAGTTTGGCACATCATACCCCATCTATTCACATTTTATTGAAGCTGGTCACATGTGTCTCCTATGTTAAGATATCATCGGATATTTTTTCTCTAATGAGCAATGTGGTGATGGGCAAGATCTACAGCGGACGCAAAACCAGCTTGAATGCAATTTGACAGCTGAACGATACACTTACACTGTTCTGTAACCTGTCGTCTGGACGTTTTCCGCCACCACAACGTAATTTTTCAACAAAGCAATGCTTGCTTTCATGTGACTATTTTCGCCAAAGCAATGTCGACTCTTTACCTTGGCCCACACAGAGTTACGATTCGCTAATTGAGCATGTGAAGGACATATCTGACCGTATTCGAACGCGCCAAAATCCACTAAGCGACATTAACCAGAGGAGGTCGGGCTGGGGATGTCATACTCTTTATTTCAGTTGGAAAATTTCAATGGCTATCACCTTATAGCACATATTTTGTTTAAATGATAGATGATAATTTGAAATCTCTTATCCAATAGAATAGCTGTGTATCTTCAATTTATTGCATAAAACAAGGGATACATTGAAATGAATTAAAACAAAAATATCACAAAAATTGGAGATTGCGTTTCTTTTGTGTGTCATTATACAAGTATACTCACTCTGAAGATGAACAGTAACCCGAACAACTTTCCACAGAGATGGTCAAAGAGTTCACTTGATCTTCATTCTCACCACAAGTCCACTCCACCGATACGTTACCCTTTGCTCTTCCCATTACATTCACACAAGCCCGGATGTACTGTACACATGACGTTGCCATGGATATCAATTGCAGCTGTGTTTTTGAATTGGTGTACTTTATCGGAGTGAATATAGTTGAACTAACACTTATCCACAAAGCTTTTGATTTGAGGGGTTTACCAGAATAAGTTGACACGGACCCTGTTGTTGCTTGTTCGAACGGCCAATTGGTATCTACACTGTCCGGCTTGACAGTACAAGCCACATTCGTAGCCCCTGAAATGACCATACAAATAGCCAGTAATTGACCATTGACATTTACCATCAGTGCACGGAAAAAAGAGTACTTTATAGCACTTAAGCATATAAAACATTATAATAGATGTATTGCAATATAGAAAAATCCTTGTGTTTGAAATTTTGTTATTGTCTCTATCTGTCATACAGCTTCATGGTGCCCAATTTGTTATGAAATAAGTTTAATTTACAAACCATGAAGCAATAATAAAACATTTAAGTTTATCTAAATAGCAAACATCTAAAATCTGTTTGATTCTATTTCCATCTGAGCTTTCCTTTTTACTATAGTATCATTTGTCATAAGTCATTTACAGAATAATTCTAAAATGAATCTATTTAAGGAGCTTTACAAAACACAATTCAGCACGAATTTGAAAGGTTGGAAATTAAGCAAATATCTTACCATACTCAAAAAGTCCGACATTCACAGCGACATTGCTGGTATTTAGTTGAGTTGCGTACATCAAACTTCCACAAGAATACACTGTGTGCGGACACCTATTGTCCTGGTAGTTTTCGTCTGTAACATCGATACAATCTCTCACCCCATCACAGAGTCTGGCTGATGGAAAGATGACGTTAGGTTTCGCACATATGTGGCTGTAAGCAGTCGGGGTGTACTGATTCTCTAGAAAACAAAAGAACCGTGTGTAAAACATATATTACAGGAGACCAACCAAGGGAAAAATACCGACATACCAATTGAATTTTAATTCAAACTCAAATCCAATATAACTAGGGCAAATTATGAACAAAGAAAAGATTTGCAAGACTCCTTAGCAAGTGTATGGCGTGTTTTATTTTTTGAATTTGCAAAGTACATATTTATAACTGATAAACCATATATATGGTTTCATTTAATAATTTTAGTAAAATGTTTTGGTCTATAGTAAACCAGTTTGGTGAGTATTAAATCAGTTTAGTTAGTAGTAAAACAGTTTGATTTGTAGTTCAACAGTTAGGTTAATAGTTTGGTTAGTAGTAAAACAGTTTGGTTAGCGGTAAACCATTTTGATTTGTAGTTAAACATTTTTGTTAGTAGTAAAACAGGTTGGTTAGTAGTTAAAAAGATTGATTGGTGGTAAAACAGGTTGGTTAGTAGTTAAACAGGTTGGTTAGTAGTTAAAAAGATTGATTTGTAGTAAAACAGGTTGGTTAGTAGTTAAACAGGTTGGTTAGTAGTTAAACAGTTTGGTTAGTAGTAAAACAGGTTGGTTAGTAGTTAAAAAAGATTGATTTGTAGTAAAACAGTCTGGTTAGTAGTTAAAAAGATTGATTAATATTAAAACAGGTTGGTTAGTAGTAAAACAGGTTGGTTAGTAGTTAAATAGGTTGGTTAGTGGTAAAACAGTTTGGTTAACAGTAAACCATCTTGATTTGTAGTAAAACAGTTTGGTTAGCAGTAAACCATCTTGATTTGTAGTAAAACAGCTTGGTAAGTAGATTTTGTTTATCCTGTAGTAGTTTACAACATTCCCGTACAAACGTTATTCATCGGAAACTCATAAAATTTCATGATTTATAAATTATTTATTTGTAAATTGTTCTTTTACAACATTGTTTCGGAATCATGTGAATCGTTTTGTCTTGATTTAATTAGACTTTGACATCATTAATCTAATTAGAAGTTGATATCCAAGAATCAACTCAGTGTCGATTTGTGCCTCAATATTGTGTTACATTATCCCTCATCGGACCGCTAAATATATTCTTTGTAAGCAGGAATTCATCTGAATTTGTTGTAAACACTTCAAAAATAGCGTGGGAATTTCGTCTAGAACTCGCT